CCACGAGGCCCTCGGGAGAAAGAGCCCTGGGCCACGCGCACTCTCGCGGGCGCTCCGCGTAGGCGGCCCCCTACCCAGCTAGTAGGCCATGCTCCCCACAGTGGGCAGGGATCCCTGGCGCGCACCACCCGCCCTGCCCCAGGGATCCACTGACTGCTCTGCCCATGCCTGCTGCTAGGACATGGCCTGGGAAGCTCAGCAGCCTCCTGGATGAGGGGTTTGCTGCCGCCACGGGGAGACTTCAGGACTTAGTTGCCTCCTGGCAGCCGGCAATGCAGTCCTGCTATTGGGGAGGGGGTGGCATAAAGAGCCAGGCATTTGATACCCAGCAGGGACTCCGAAGAGGAAGCCACAGAGCTGTAGATCTGCCCTGGTTGGCCCTGCCCTGCCTTTGCCCTGTGCTACCCTGGGCCTGCTCTACCCTGCCTTTGGCCCTGCCCTGACCCCACCTTGGCCCTCACACTGGCCCTAACGCAGACCTGTCCCTAGTCCTGGCCTTGGCCCGGCACTGACCCTGCTCCTGGCCCTGGTCCTTCCATGGCCCTGGCTCTGCATGACCATAGCCCTGGCCCCCTCCAAGACCCCCGATTGCGAGTCGCAGGCCCCGGAGATGCAGCAGCGAGCCTGAGAGTACAATGATCTTTGGCCTGGCACAGCGTTTTAAATAATATTCTAATGTAATCTGTCAGGGTCAGGACCAAGACGGGGCCAGGGCTGGAGCTGACAGGATCATTGGCAGGGGGCAGGACCAGGGCCACGGCAGGACCAGGGTCAGGAGCAGGACCAGGGCCACGGCAGGACCAGGGTCAGGAGCAGGACCAGGGCCACGGCAGGACCAGGGTCAGGAGCAGGGCCAGGGCCACGGCAGGACCAGGGTCAGGAGCAGGGCCAGGGCCACGGCAGGACCAGGGTCAGGAGCAGGGCCAGGGCCATGGCAGGACCAGGGTCAGGAGCAGGGTCAGTGCCGGGCCAGGACCAAGGCCAAGGCTAGGGCCAGGTCTGCACTAGGGCTAGTGTGAGGGCCAAGGTAGGGTCAGGGCAGGGCAGCGTAGAGCAGGCCCAGGGTAGCGGAGAGGGAATGCAGGGCAGGGCCAACCAGGGCAAGTCTATGGCCAGGGCAGGGCCAGGAGCAGGGTAGGTGTAGGGCCAGGGCAGGGCCAAGACAATGGTGGCTCCAGGGCAGGGCCAAGGTTAGGACCACAGTCATGTCCAAGGCCAGTGCCAGGGACAGGGCCAGAGTCATCTAAGGACCAGGGACAAAGCTAGGCCCAGAGCAGGGCCAGGACAGGTACCTGGCAGGACCAGGGTCTGAGACAGGGCCATGGAAGGGCCAGGGCCACAGCCAGGTCTGTACTATGGCTAGGTCCAAGATAGGTCCCAGCCAAGGCTAGGGTGAGGGCCAAGGTAGGGCCAGGGCAGGGTCAAAGATAGGGTAGGGCCAAGACAGGGCCAGGGAACCATAGGTCCAAGGCAGGGTAGCGCCAGGGCAGTGCCAAGTCTAGGGCAGGGCCAGGGAACAGCCAGGGCAGGAACAGGGCCATGACCCTGGCAAGGGGAGGGCCAGGTTCGGGGCAGAAGCAGAACAAGGGCAGGGACAGTGCAGGTTCATGGCACAGCCGGGTCCAGAAGAGTCTGGGCCATGGGAAAACCAAAGACAGGGCTGGGGCTAGGACAGTGGCAGGGCCAGAGTGAGGACAAGGGCCGGAGCAGTGCAAGACCAAGGTAGGGTCAGACATTTCAGGGTCACCACAAGTTCAGGGCCAGGGCAGAACTAGGGTAAGTTCTCAAGCAGAGAAGGGCCAGGGCCAGGACAGGTTGAGGGCACGGCCAGAACAGGAGCAGGGCCAGGGCCAGGGCCAGGGCAAGGCCTGAGCATGGTAAGGGTCAAAGTCAGGGCCAGGGTAGGGACAGGGCCAGGGATGTGGCAGGACCAGGGGCAAGGCCAAAGCCAGGGCTGAGACACGGCATGGTATGGCCAGTGCAGGACAGGACCACAGCTGGTCCATAGAGAGAGCAGGGCCAATTCCAAGGCAGAGCCAGGCTAGTGCCAGGACTGAGGCGTGTCAGGGATGTCCAGGGTGGGGCCGGAGCCAGAGCCAGAGCTGAGCCAGGGCATGGCCAAGGCAGGGTAGGTCAAGGCAATGGAACGGCCAAGACACTTCCAAGTCCAGTTGAGGGCCAGGGCCAGGTCTGGGCTAGGGCCAGGTCCAGAGCAGGGCCTAGCCAAGGCTAGGGTGAGGGCCAAGTTAGGGCCAGGGCAGGGGCAAAGCCAGAGTAGGGCAAAGCCAGGGCCAGGACAGGGTGATGACACAGCCAGAGCACAGCAGGGCAGGGTGATGCCAAGATTAGTGGCAGACCAGTGCCAACTCAGGGGCAAGGAAAGGCCAGGGCCAGGGCAGAGCCAGGAAGGGGTCTGGGTCAGGGCCAGGAGCAAGGCAGAGCAAGGCCAGGGCCAGGCCAGAGTTAGGGCAGGTCCTTGGCAGGGCCAGGTTCCAGGCCAGGGCCAGGGCAGCGGCAGGGGCAGGGGCAGGGCCTGGATAAGGGCAGGACCAGGGTCAGGGCCAGGGCTTGGGCTGGACCAGGACAAGACCACAGCCAGGCCATAGTGGGGGCAGGGCAAAAGCCAAGACAGGGTCAGGGCAGGTCCAGGGAGGGGCCAGTGCCAGGCAGGGCCAGGACACAATCAGGGCAGGGTAAGGTAGGGTAATGGCACCACTGCACCATGGCAGGGCAAGGTCAGCGCCAGGAAAGGGCAGAACAGGCAGGGCCATGGTGTGGCCAGGGCAGGAATGGGCCAAGGCAGGGCCAGGACAAATCAGGGCCAGGACACGACCAGCGCCAGGTCAGGGCCATAACAGGACCAGGACCATGACCGTTGGCAGGATCAGGGTCAGGACAAGGGGCGGGGCCAGAGCCAAGGCAAGGACAGTGCAGGTTCAGGGAAGGTCCAGGGCAGAGGCAGAGCCAGGGCCTGGGCTAGGGAAGGGCCAGTGCAAGGGCAGGGCCAGGGCAGGACAGGACCCAGACAGCCCAGGTAACAGTAGGGCAGGTCCAAGGCAGGGCTGGGCCGAAGGCCAAGGCCATGCCCAGAGTAAGGCCAAGGCAGAGGCAGGGCCACAGCATGTCAGGGCCAGGGTAACACAGGGCCAGGGAAATGCCAGGGCAGGTAGGAGCCAGGGTAGGGCCAGGGCCAAGGCAGTGCAAGGGCCAGGACAGGGCCAGAGCCAGGTCAGGACCAGGGCCAAGTCAGGGTCAGGGCTATGGCAGGACCAGTAGCAGGGTAAGGGCCATGGCAGAACCAGGGGCAGGGCCATGGGCATGGCCAAGTCAGGGCCCCAGCATGGGCAGCCTTGGGCAGGGCAGGGCCAGGGTAGTGCAGTGCCTAGTCAGGGCTGGGCCAGGACAGGACCAGAACCAGGGCAGGGCCAGGGCCAGGGTAGAACCAGGGCAGGTCATGGCCAGGGAAAAACCAGGGGCAGGGTAACAGCCAGGGACATGATAGGACCAAGGCCAGGGCCAGGATAGTGCCAGAAGTAGGGCAGAACCAGGGCCAGGGGAGGGATATGGCAGGGCTGGGTTTTGGGACAGGGCCAGGTCATGGCCAGGGCCATGGCAGGACCAGGGCCAGTGGAGGGCCAGGGCAGGGCTAGGGTAGCACAGGGCCAAGACAGAGCAGGGCCAGTGAAGCGCAAGGACTGGGCCAGGAGATGGAAGGGCAGGGACAAGGAAGTCCAGGGCCAGAGACAGGTCTGGGATATAAACAGGGCAGGGACACCCACATGGCAGGACCAGAAGGGACCAGGGCAAGGGCACGGACAGAGAAGGACCAGGGAAAAAGAATGGCCAGGGAAGGGCCAGGGCAGAACCAGAGCCAGGACAAGCCAAAGGTAGGGTCAAGGCAGGCAAGGCCAGGGGAGGGCAGGGCCAGAACAGGGTGAGGGTAGGGCCAGGGTGAGGTCACGGCCAGGGCAGGACTAGGATAGCAAAGGGCCAAGGCAGGGCCAGGGCAGAGTGGAACCAAGGAGGGGCCAGGTCCAAGGCGTGGCCAGTGTGTGGCCTGGACATTGTCAGGGCCAGGGCCAGGACAGGTCCAACACAGGACCAGGGCCAGGGCTAGAGCGATGGCAGGGCCAGGGAGATGGCAGAACCAGGCAGGGTCCTGAGCAAGGGGAGGGCCAAGGCCAAGGCAGGGCAAGGCCAGGGTAGGAAAATGACAGGGTAGGGCAAGGCCAGGGAAAGGCAAGGCCTGGGAAGGGCAAAGCCTGGGAAGGGCAAGGCCAGGGTAGGGCCAGGGCCAGGTCAGGGCTAGGGTACCATAGGGCAGGGCCATAACATGGGCAGGATTAGAAAACAGGGCCAAGTCAAGATCTAGACCAGGGCATGGTGGGGACAATACAGGGCCATGACAGAGGATGGCAAGGCAGGTCCTGTGCTATGTCATGGACAGGGTAGGCCCGGGATCAGGCCAGGGCAGGGACAAGGCCAAGGCAGTGTCAGGACAGAGCAGGGCTAGTGCAGGGCCAATGCAGGGTGAGGGCAAGGCCAGGGAATGGACGGGCAGGGCAGGATCAAGGAAGGGCCAGGACAGGGCCAGGGCAGGGTCAGGGCCAGGACAAGGGTACGGCCAGGGCAAGGAATATGGTAGGACCCGGGCTGGGCCCAGGCTGGGATGTGCAGGGCAGGCCATGGCCTGGTCAAGGCAGGGCCAGAGCCAGGCCGTAGAGAGGGGAGGGTCAACACCAAGGCAAGGTCAGGGCAGGTCCAGGGTCAAGGCAGGGCTAAGGCCCAGGCAGGTCCGCAGCAGTACAAGGGCAGAGTAGGGCACAGCAATGGCAGGACGAGGCCATGGCAGTGCCTGGTTAACTCCAGGGAAGGGCCAGAGCCATGGAAGGACCAGGGTCAGGACAAGGGGCAGAGCCAGAGCCAAGGCCAGGCCAGCACAGGTTCAGGGACGGTCCAGGGCAGAGGCAGGGCCAGGGCCTGAGCCAGTGCAAGGGTAGGGACATAGTAGTACAGGGCCAAGACAGGGACAGGGTGGGGCCAGGGCAGGGCAGGGCTGAGACAGGCCAGATAACAATAGGGCAAGTGCAGGGCAGAGCAGTGCAAGGCAAGGTCCATGGCAGGGGCAGGGCAGGACCAGGCCGAATGCCAATGCACCGGCCCTCCCTACAAGGCTCCTACCACCTGGCCACCGCTGCAGGCCTGCCCCCACTCTGGCTGCAGCCACCTGCCCTCCTAGTGCAGCCGCCCTCCTAATGCTCTGGCGTGCTGCAGTCTCTGTCACCGCCACCAACCTACAGTGGGGTGAGCCGCGGTCTCCCAGGCTCCAGCCTCCAGTGTATGGCAGGTGTCTCCTCCTCCCCCTGCCACAGAGCAGCTGGGCAGGCAAAGCCAGGAAAGCCTGCCAGAAAAAAAGGAAGATGCAAGGGGTGGTAGCGTCAGAGCCTCACCTTGTCATGCCAGCCACTGGGTGGCAGGGACCAGTTTCAGTGAAGGGATTCACACCCACCCTCCAAAGTCCAGCCTCTCCTTTTGGCCCAAGCTGGCCAGGAACTGGAGCCTGGGGTGGGTGATGGAGACACCACAGCACCCAGCTCCTCACCCCACAGGAACCGCCGGGCCCACTGGGGCTGCACTGCTCGGGGAGCAGGAGTAGCAGAAACTCAGACCCAGGAGCCAATTCCCATTCCAGACGCCTCCACGCACAGGGCACTGTCCCCTGTGGTGTCCACTACTCCACACCTGGGGGTGCCAGGCAGTCTCTGTGACACAGACCCAGAGTGCAAGGGCTCAGTAGCCACAGCAGGTGTGGGGGCTCTGCCATGCTCAGGATTCCCATGGAAACACTGTGCACCTGCCATGCTCCAGTATGAGCAAGAGGAGGTCGCCCTCTGGAGTGTGGAGTCCAGGGAGAAGAGAACTGCTCCTTCCTTGGATGCCACCACTGTCGCTGCCAGCTCTGCCTACCGCCGCCAGCAGTGCAGCCCCTGATAACCCCCAACTCACCCCCCTCCACGACTAGTCCTGCCCTCAATAGTGCCCCCCACCTTCACCCCCCAATGCTGCCAGCAGTGTGGTACCCGATAGTGCCCCTAACCAGTCCTCCTCCATGGGCATTGCAGCCCCAGAGTGTCAATAACCCACTCCCCGCCATGGGCAGCACAGCCCCGTATAGTGCTACCAACCAGTACCCCCAGTGCAGGCAGTGACACCCCAGATAGTGCCCCCAAACCAGCCCCCAATGCAAAAAGTGCAGCCCCAGATAGCCCCGTCCCACTACACTGGTTGGACTGCAGTCTGTCGCCACCAACACCAACCGCAGT